TTACTAAGACCAACCCCTAGTATACGCCACTTAAGATCTATGTACTGTATTCTGTAAACCAAAGTTCAAATCTGATATACAGTAAAACCTGTGTAAACCGGACTCGCGGGGCACCGAATATTTTTCCAGCTTTAGTAGCTCTCCATTTTAAACAGGTTTTTTTTAAACAAATAAAATAGCTACGTTCCTAAGAATTTTCCCGTTTAGGCAGGTTCCGTTTTGAACAGGTTTTGCTATATTATAACGAGATTATCGAAGTCGTTTTTATAAAGTATTTTTTAAAGTATCAACGGTTAAGCATCACAGATTATCATTAAATTCATGATCCCACTTTGCTCTACTTTTCAGGCAAAATACGAAAGGAAAATGATAAATCACTCGAAAAACGTTTTGAAATTCAACTTTTCAGATTTAAACTATATTTTACTTTCAAAATATTGATTAATCTGTTCCCGAATAATAGAAAAATCAGTCATTTTTCCTATAAGAACAAGAGGAGGAGGATGAGGAGGAGGAAGAGGGGGGAAAATGCAAACGTTTTATATCACACGGCTCCACTTATCCTAGGGAAAATGGAAGCTGTGCCACATATATATTTTATATTCCCGCTCTCGAAACGACGTTATAAAGAGATTGAAAGCTTTCAAATAGTTATGTATATAGAGTATTAATGATTTTGGATTTTCGTGTTGGGACACAATTTCTTATATTGATTGATGAGATGTAAAATTGACATTGAGCGACTAGAAAATGTCATCGTGTCATGACAGAAAACCATTAATGTCAACATAAAACATCATTGAAATTTTTTATTTAACATAAATTCATCATTTCGTCTCTCTGTTTATTTAAAATATTTCATTTATCTAATCAATTTTCTAATATTTCTTCCACCCTTCTTCAATTTTATAATCCCTCACGCACTCCCTCAAAGTACAAATCATCTTAAACGTGATTGCATTTTTGATTATTTCGGCAAATTGTTTACGTAAACTTTAAAATATATTTTTATTTTCATTATGTTATTAATCTTATGAAAATCGATCCGAGAAAAATAGAATTGAATTTTATTTTTTATTTTTTAAATCCTCTTTTCTAAAAGTGAATTATTCAAAAGAATTCCATCACCCATTGGAGATTGACGCGAACTCGACACTTGGCGTATTGTCGTTTTGAAAGCGAATAAAAATTTCTACTGGTAGAATTTTATTGGAATTCCTCTTTAAATCGCTACAATTTAAATTCTAGATCATCAATGAATCATTCAAAATTTCATATTTATTGTATCCTAAATAATACTTTTGTTATAATTCTCGAAAATTTTTCTACTCTTCTCTTATATATATATATCAATAAAATATTAATAAAAATAACATTATATGTAATTTAATATCGAGGAATATATTTTTCTATAGCCATCTGTTTACAATAGTTTTCTTTTTTTTTCTTTTTTTTAAATTCTTTCCACCCTGTGGATACTAAGACGGCCTTTTCAGTAAGTCTATTATGAGTTCGACTAGGCCTACAATAAGGGATAGGCTGGCGAGGAACGGGCCGACATACAGACCTCCATCAAGAATTCTTAGTTCGAATCCGGTCGGGTGGAAAAACCCGTCTGGGTTCCTCAAAACGAACTTAACTACCCAACTATCCAGTCTTTAATTTACAATACTACAGAAAAGATTTCTTCATATCTCCCCATCCCCGTGATCTTTAATCACCAAAATTTAATAGCATCAGTATCCCTAATACACAAATCTCCCTGCAAAATTTCAGAAATTTTCGACAAAAAGCACAGGAGTTATTAAGCTTTAATCAAGAACATAATCGAACTCCCCCCCACACACACTAACGTCCATACATAGGAATAAAAAACAACTTAAATATTTTGCATTTCATATATAATGGCAGAAAAAATAAAAGTAATAAATTAAATATAAATAAATACAATTTATTATTAAAAATATTTAAATAAAATCTTAAAATTAATATACACTAGAACAGATTTATTTAAGTGAAGGATATATTTTAACATAATAAATGTCTTATATCAACAGGCACGACATAAAAAAAAAAATAAGATTTGCAATCTGTCGGAAAATTTCTCAATAACCAGAGTAGATAAAGATGAATTAAGCAATAACTGTTGGTGATGATAAATGCTTAAAGTGGATTATAATGGATCCATATATTAATACATTCTCTATTCATTGTCATCAATATTCTTGTAACAAATTCATCAAAAACGACACGAAAGAAATATTGTGTTTATCCTGTTATTTACACGATCACGTTATGTTAAACTATATATATATAAAACCTCCAAACAACGGCCATTTTTTTATGTCCCCGCCAGTGGCCGTTGTTCGGAGGTTCGACTGTATTAAAAGTTACTTTACAATATTAAACAGGCAAACATTGACTTAAGAGGATTGTAACTATATATAAATTTCACAGAATTAAAAAGAAAAAATTTAATTATTAATTCGATGTAATTATTTACTTAAAAATTTTTAAATTTTGTTTAATTTTAAAGAGAGAAAAATTATAATTAAATTAATTTTTAAAGAATTAAAATAAGAGAAATAAATTCGATTATATCTACAAAAATAGTCGGATATTGTTTGCTTATATCATTAAAGAAAATAAATCTTTACAAAACAGAATTTTAAGAGAGAAAAAAAAATAAGATTAAGAATCGAATTCAAAATAAATTATATTTTATAAATTAATTTTTATTTAAATTTAAATATTCTATGTTTGTTTTCATTCCTAACAATTGCTACCATTACCTGTCTTCGTATTGATTCGGGATTAAGAGGATGATGCCATATCTCCCGAACTAGTGATCCAATTTTCCTGAAAATTTCAGGAAATATTTCTCCCTAATACTAGAATTTCCCTGAAAAATTTCAGAAATTTTCAACAAAAAACACGGGAGTTATTAAGCTTCAAATTAGGTGTTAAAAAATCGTGCCTCCACACATACGTACAGGAAAAAAACACTCATTTGTATTTTTAATAAAGAAAAAGTTTCTATCACTTGTACTACTTTCCCACTCACTCCATTCAATTGATTTTCATTTTTTTAATTTATAATTTTGTAAAGAGAAGAAAAGTAATCACTTCTATTGAAAATTTTGTTTATATATTTTGAATTTACGATATTTACTCTTTAAAAAAAGAATGAAACTTTGATTGATGAAACGAATTGTCACAAATATCGATCGACTGACAGTTAAAACAAATCAATTATTAACAAGGAAATAGTTATATTTTTTAACAAAGAAAAAAATTTCCACGTGTACAATTCTAACCCTTTATCGATAATTAGTAGAAGGATATTTTAAGAGAAGTTTTCTTATTAATTAATTACCCCCATTCATTAATCAGTTGGGTTTGGATTTTCTAGATAAAATGCATCGTTTAATAACGTTTTAAAATATTTGGAAAATTAATTTTTGAGTAAAATTAATCATAAAAATGCTTCGAATCTTTATTGATTTATTTAAATTATTTAGTAAATATAATTAAAATTGTTTGGAACGTCGTTACAACGAGAAAAATCATCGAACATTAGTCAATTACTTTCAACAGATGACGTTAAAATCAAAACTTCTAATGGTAATAAAAAAATCGTCCCTTTAGTTTACTTGAAGAAAAATGGACTAAAAGAAAAATTACCTTTAAGTTTACTTGATTTATCGATTCAAAAGATAACATCTTACAGGCGTATATAAATAATAATCAATATTTTAATATGAGGTATTTTTTTTCGCTAATTTTAACTCGATAAATTTAATTTATATTATATTATTTAAGCATTTATTACTGTAAAAGTAAATATTACTCTATATTGGAAAAAACCTGTTTAAGACGGAACCTGGTTAGAACGGAAACCTGTCAAATTGGGAAAATATTTGCTACCGTACAAGTCCGGTTTACACAGGTTTTAACGTATATATAATAAATATTAATATAAACAATACTGTGTGATTTATCTCACGTTTAAAATAAAAATTAATAGTATTTTTCTTTCTTGCTTTAACTTATAAAAGAAATATATATATAGTTTAGAAGTCGATAAATCCTACAACTTTCATACGGATGAACAGTTTTATCTGGTGTTATCGTCGAGGCAAAATAAAAAGAAAATAACCTCAAAAATAGATACGATTTAACATCAATGGCGGATTTAGAAACATGGCGCCCCTTAGGCCTCTTATTATTATTTAAAAAATTTTTTAAGTCTCCCAAACTCTTTCGATCTTAGGCCCCTGCCTAATGGGCCTAGTGAGAAAGCCAACATTGTATTATTCTTTATAAAGTCGTAATGGTTTGTCCCGAAGACACTGTAACTTAAATAGGATTTTTTATACTTAAATGTAACCGTATAATCTTTTCTAATGGATTCCGTGTGTTAGTTCTTTTATCCCTTTACTAAAAGTTCAATATTAATAAAACTTTAATTCGAAAAAAAAACTTCTTTAAATTAAGTAAGGTAATAACTTTTTAAACCCTTAAATTTAATATACTTTAAAATTACTTTCTTTATAATATACCACACTTATACTATAACTGTTATAAGTGTAAATCGGTGTACCGAATACTTTTTCCGGTCCGGTTTGAGAGGTTTCCGTTTTAGACAGGTTTTTACTATATTATAAACAGATGTAAATCAAAGTTTTTCGACTAAACAAAACTTTTTCTGTCAATACAACACGTTCTTCGATCCATATGGGACAGAGGAAACACATCCCCCCGTATTTTTATACCAGAAAATTGCCCCCCACAACGTATTGTACTTTTAATATATCTAATACTACAAGTGGAAACGAGTACTGTATACCTTATTTTGTGTATCCACTCAAGAACCGACAATAAGAAATTTTACTTGCTCATTGTCGTCGGATCACCCCTCCCCCCAATTTCTATACAGAGCCACCCCGATATAACATATGCGCTATAAATAAGTATAAATAGATATTTGTAATACATACGTCCGAAGATGTGTCCCACTAGAGTCGCTGGTAGATAAAAAACGACGACTTGTAGATCGGCAACGGCCAGATTAACGAGCAAAAAGTGAAACGTCGTCCTCATAGAATTATTCCTGTATATAATATTGAGTACACAACCGTTTCCAATAATTCCCAATAGAAAAATAGAAGCGTAAGCAACGCAATAACCCGTAGTCCACGCAACTGAATAACGTAGGAAACATCCAACACCAATTGTACACTCGATAGTGGAATTCGACTCGGACATATTGACACTGGTTGACACAACACCCAAAGGCCACTGAAACACGCAAGAGGTGCCTTGTTGATTGACAGTAGAAGGCATTATCCTAATTTTCGAAAATTAAACGCGTACTCCATTACATTCTATACGCAAAATTTAAACATTAGGAATTTAAATAATAAATAAATAAAAATATTTCTCTACTCCTTTCACTTGTATTAAAGTCGACAAAAGTCAGAAGAAACTTCTCACACGCGCGATTGCTGAAGATCTTCTAGCAATAGTTCCCGTCATGCAATGGGAAGTGAGTGCTTTCGTATAAGACAAGTCAATATTGGGATTCGCGCGGGTCAAGGTTAATTTAATAAGAAATATTTCGTAATTATTATAAGAAGAAGAAGAAAAGGGGGAAAAATCCATTGAAAAATACAATTCCTCTTCCATCGCTTATAAGAAATTATCCATAAAAATCAAAGAAGATAATTAGATTTACTTTAAATATAGAAGAAGATTAAGAGGTTGGACCTAATGATATATACATTTTTCTTATGATTTTTCTTAAGAAACTATTGAAGCATTTAAAAATAAATAACCTCATTGTGATCAGCCATTATTATCGAAGAAAGATTAGGGGGAGAGTTTTTATAGAGAGAGAATCGTTCAACTGAATTCAACTATCGAACAAAATTGGAGGAATTCCTAAAGGGGAAAGTAGAAAATGTATTCAAGAATTCTTTATCTCCGGTAGAGTCGGTTTCTATCAATCTCGAAGGGGAATTCTGCCATTTAAAAAGAAATATTTTTAGAACGTTGACTAAACGAAAGAAGATAAATAAAAATTAATAACCGATAAATAATATATTTTAACGTATAGTAAAACCTGCCTAAGACGGAAACGTAAACGGAAAAAATTTTTTTTCGGAACTGAGCGATTTTATATGTTAATTAATAAAACCTGTTCGAAGCGGAAAACATATTCCGGTTTACACAGGTTTTACTGTATAAACTTTTGATTTTTCTTTTTAGAGATTTAGCTGTTATAAATTATGAATAATTTAGTAATAAACAACGCTTTGTTATTATAAAGTATTGCCATTTACATATAAAAATATGCGGAAATTGTTTCAGTATTTCATTTTATGTCTTGCGATAAAAAAATATTATTACTTTGTAGCGATTTATAAATGTATACAAATGCACATATTTTCCGTTTTTTTTTAAAGGGTAATATAAAATTTAAATTTATTGTCAAATTAAAATTTATAATAACAAATAAAATATTCACAGTTGTGTATATTAAAAATTATTAGTAAAGAAGCATTATTTAATTGAATTTAAAATGATAGACATATTAATTTAGTGACCTTTATGTAAACATTAAACAGGTGCATACTTAAGGGGATGCCTTCTACCTTCTAGTAATTTCCCTAAATCCCCACCCTAACTTCCCCATCATTTGGAGATTTTTCCCTAAATTTCCACATCAAATTCCCCAACATTTGGAAATTTCCCCAAATTTCCACTGTAACTTCCCACCATTTGGAGATTTTTCCCTAAATTTTCACATCAAATTCCCCAACATTTAGAAATTTCCCTAAATATTCACCCTAGATTCCCCAACTTTTGGGTTTAACCCTAAATTCCCCACTCTGGGGATTTTACCCTATTCCCGCGCCCTAAATTTCTCAACTTCTGGGGATTTTTCCCTAAATTTCTATTCTATATTCCTTATCCTAAGGGAGTATTTTCCTTCTGTAAGGTACGTCGTTTCCTTTCTGCACCCCTTTAAAAATTTCTGGATCTGCTATTCACATCAATCGAATTTGACTTTTTATCGAGTGAACTTCAAATATTTATGATTTAATTAAAATTATTAAAATATTTTGATAATTTAGCAATATTTGTTTATTTAATTCAGCAAGAGTGAAACGACATGTTTTAAGCAATGGCTGTTTTAACGTCGTTAATCGTTTGGATGAACAAAAATATTGATTTAAACGATAAGTAATTCACTTCAATAACATTAATATTAATCACTTATGTCACACGTCGAGATTGATACTGTTTAATAACGCAAAAACAGCTTATTTTATATTAAAATAAAATCCTATTCGAGTAGTAATCAATTATAAGAAAAACATGTCCGTAGTCTTTAATGTATTAAATCATAAAAGCGTGTTTATTTGTATTATCTGGGCATTTTAATGTAGTAAAACCTGCCCAAAACGGAACCCGAATAGAACGGAAAGCTGCCTAAACGCATAAAATTCTCGAAATTGAGCCATTTTTTTTAATATTTAAGAAAAACCTGTTCAAAACGAAAATATGCCAAATCGGAAAAATACAGTAAAACCTGTCAAAAACGGAACCTGAAAGAAACGAAAACTTACCAAACTGGAAATAATATTTGGTATCGTGCGATTTCGATTTATACACGTTTTACTGTATATGGTACTGTGTGATTCCCGTTTACACAGGTTTTACTGTATTTGGTACCGTGGATTCCTGTATAAACAGGTTTTACTGTATTTGGTACCGTGGATTTCTGTATAAACAGGTTTTACTGTATTTAGTACCGTGTGATTCCTATTTAAACAGGTTTTACTGTATTTGGTACCGTGTGATTCCTATTTACACAGGTTTTACTGTATTTGGTACCGTGGATTCCTGTATAAACAGGTTTTACTGTATTTGGTACCGTGTGATTCCTATTTACACAGGTTTTACTGTATTTGGTACCGTGTGATTCCTATTTACACAGGTTTTACTGTATTTGGTACCGTGGATTCCTGTATAAACAGGTTTTACTGTATTTGGTACCGTGTGATTCCTATTTAAACAGGTTTTACTGTATTTGGTACCGTGTGATTCCTATTTACACAGGTTTTACTGTATTTGGTACCGTGTGATTCCTATTTAAACAGGTTTTACTGTATTTGGTACCGTGTGATTCCTATTTACACAGGTTTTACTGTATTTGGTACCGTGTGATTCCTATTTACACAGGTTTTACTGTATTTGGTACTGTGTGATTCCTATTTACACAGGTTTTACTGTATTTCATTCTAATTTATACAGATTTTACTATATTTAAAGATCCTCTGCGTGATAATGAATAACATTTCACTTTAAATTATAGATAAATAAATCTTTACCCTGACTTTATAGCAAGACTTAAAAGTGGTTCAAACTGCATCAATTATTTATAATGTTTAAATCAGTTAATAGAATTTATAAACAAACTTACATTAAATTACAGTATCCTAATGGTATTTCTGATAAGATCTTTATTTTATTTTTTTCCTGTTAATGCGATTTCAAATTCGATTTTCCTGTTGAAAATGTAACTTTTCACGTGGGATTTTGCAAACTTATAAACTTTAATTTAATATAATTTCTCTCTCGTAACAAAGGGGTAATAAACTATAAGCACGTTATCAAGCGGCCCACGCGAAAACTCAGAATTACAAACAAATTATCACTTTTAAGATGTGAAATGATTTTACTTAATTAAAATTAAATATTAGTTTAATATGGCAAAATCTGCTTAAAACGGTACCTGAATAGATCAGAAACCTGCCTGAACGGAAAAAATACAGTAAAACCTGTATAAACCGGAATCGAACTGTACCGAATATTTGTCTGCAAGTTTCCGTTTTAAACAGGTATTTTAAACTCGCTCCGTTTCGAAGAATCTTTTCTGTTTAGGCAGGTTTCCGTTTTGGACAGGTTTCACTGTAATTAAATGGTAACCGAACTAAATATTAGTAATCCTCGACAAATTACTTCTGGATTCGTTACAGCAATCTTTATTTATCTTTGGCATGTAATGACCATTTCATAAAGGATCATCTCGATTATTATCGTTGCTAACAATTCCCAATTATTATCTCTTTCGGGAATATTGTCCTTCATATTTAAAATCATCCCGCTCGTATCGATGCATAAAACTAATCTCTGGCCCAGATTAACTTTATATTATTGAAATTCTGACTTAATGATGTCATTAAAATGCAATATGTTTATGAAACGAATTCCACCAAAGAAGAAACAACTGGCATTTGCTTCTATTAATTCTTATATAAAGCCATTTTAAATTAACTTTAATGAATTTTTTTTNTCTATTTAAATTCTTAATATATAAACCTATAGGCCTATATTTTTTATTATCTATAACGTTTACCGTTTTTACGAAATTCAGGAATTTAATTACAAACTTATTATTCAACGTATGAAAACGATCACGTCATAATTTCTTATCATAAAAAAAAATCTATTATTTCTTCATTGGATTTTTATTATCTAACTGTTATATGTAGGTCTTAACTATTAGTCGCATTTTCTATAATATATTTAGTATAATATTTCTTTAAAACTTCAGAGATAACAATAAAACTATCGTTATCAGACGTTGTTACGGTCGTAACAGAATAAAGGACTTTCTAGTTAAAGATGAAGAGATCTTTAACTCCGACACTATTTTCTCCAAGTTTATATGCTGTTTTTTTCCCCTTAATCTTGTCTCGCCATCGTTTATTCTGTCTCATATTCTTTTACTACGTTATTTTGTACGCCTGCTTAACCATTCTTCATCTCTCTTTATGGATATCTTCATTGAATTTCGTTTACTTTTTATCTCTAATCTCGATAAAATCGCAATTTTCCTTTATCTGTTTTATATTTTAACTCAATTTTATACAAGATAAGGATACTTTTATTATTGCCGAAGGATCAGTTAAATTGGTTTTACGATCAACAGAGTTTATATGACGAGTGGAAGAATTCCTGTACAGAAGAAATAGCTAAAAATATAATATTTTGTAAGTATACTGCGAGGTTGCGGCCGAAGTTTTCATCTTTTAAACGTGAACGTCGAACGTCGAGCGCCGCTTAAGTAAGCGGCGCTCGACGTTCGACGTTCACGTTTTACAGATGAAAACTTCGGCCGC